AAATACTGTCAAAAAATACTGCTGAAACTGAAGAAATTAGTTACAAGTACTACTATGCTTTCTCCAAAATTCCTTCTGTCTTTACTTGGTCCTTCAAAATTCTGAGTTAAGGGTACCAAAACATTGATATTACATTATCAAAATAATATCTGCTATGTATTACCTTTTTCCTCTACTATGTATTTCAAGACTAGTGCTGGAAGAATTACTTGAGAGTTGCCCATTCCTTATTTTGGCTCACATAGTCCCATCTATACTCTTCCCACACATATATTAGCACCAAGTACTAAGAGAGAAACAGAACTTTGTATGCAGGCAAGAAAAATGCACAATATACTCACTGCAAGATTTTTCCCCTTTCTTAAAACATTCTTAGCTACCTGTGATACTCTTCATTCATGTTATACAATCTGCTTTGCAAATCAGTATTACAGCTTTTTTGAGAAGAAAATATAAGAATTTATTCACTATTGTATTATACCTTGACAGTGAGTTTTGCCAAATGTTGTAAAACCCAGATACGATGGGACCAGGCATTGTAGTTGCTTGGATATCTCCCAGCAGCTTCGGAGCAGACATTCATTTCCTCCTGCACTAGTCGGTGAATCCTCTCCATAGGCACTGCTCCCAAGTTTCCTTTAGTTGCAAGACTGGGCAAGGAGCTTTCCTGAATTAGTTGTTGCAGCACCCATCGTCTGGTTAAACGATGTAAAGCGTTAATGGTGAGAGAGCAGTTATAAGAGAAAAAGATGGCTTTTCATGTGCATAAATCAAACCTTTCCAATAGTTCTATTCTCTGAACTACTCTGTAGCTAGTAAATGAGTGAGTAGCAAACAACCATCTGAACACTTGCTATGCTATAAACTATAACACAATGATTGCACTCCCAACACACTTGCATCAGTTTGCTCACTCTAAGTGATCATGGCTACTTACAGCATTATAAAATAAAACAGAGGAAACAACAAATTTATGAAAGAGTGCAAGCAGCATGTGCATGAAATTCTTAACGTGCTCCTCTAAAGTCTTGCATGGCACTAAAAGTGAAGCAGCCAAAGCGAGATAGAAAGAAGTAATTTGATAAAAAATTAATTCTGCTCAGTATCTTTTACATCTGACAGTACCACACTGCAATTCAAACTGGTTTCTGTACACCACCAGCAGTAGCAAAGTCCAAAAGGCTTGTGGTTTCAAGGGCTATAGGTACAAACAAAACAAATATTTCTACTGATGAATTACGTATATTTGATTTCATGTGTCTGAAATAAGCACAGATTCCTAGATGTTCTGGTTTTTTATTTTACTTTGGACAAAATTTTAGCAGTATTTTTAGAGGCAATCTCAATGCTGCATCTGCAGCCCCAACACAAAAGGGTTCTACAAAAATAGATTACACGTGTGTAAATTTCCACAGAGCAGCCCATGTCAATGGAATTGCTATGGTCCAGTGTGGAATGCTCTGGAGAGACTGACATCCTCTGGTGTGCAACACAGAGGTTGTCCTGTTTTGTACTGGCTCACATTGGCTCCAAAACCAATGAATTGATATTTTCAAAGGTGTCAAAATTTCTTTTAACTCCAAGTTAAAATAAATCAATATTTACAATAAAAGTAATAAATTAACTTATCTGAAACAGAGACTTCTATTTTGCAAGCCATATATAAAATTAGATATCTACATATATATATATACATATATAAAAAGAGTTAACCACGTATTAAAAATATTGTTAACTCATCTGCCTTTTCTCTCATTTGAAGACATGCATAATATGCTTGACCACTCGTGGATTTTATCTACATTGTATCTTTTTCACTCAGTTATCAAAAAAAGGACAAAGTATTGGAAGACAATATTAAAGACAATTTATAAGAATGCAATTTTAAACTGTGTTTCTCAGAAGAAAGTTACAAGCAGTGTATGAACACTTTCCTCCTATACACTGTTTGTTCTAAATAAAGATGTACAGCTAAGCAAACCATGATTTGACTGTTGTGTAACAGTATTTTATGAAATGTAATAATTTTGAAGACTTAACTTTGAATTTTTAAAAGTGCCTTTGATCCAAACATCACCTTTTGTATTTTTTACTTCAGTCCACAGCTATGCAAGAAATGGAAAATTAAAAAAACTCAATAAGCACAGTCACTCTTTTAACAAGAGATATGTATTATTTCATTAACATCATTATCTGAGTAAAACCATGAAGATAAAATATTTCACCTCTGTAATTATTTCAGTTTCTTAAAATGATTTTGCTTTACAAACCAAGGAAATATGATAAATTACATGTGCAGGGGAGAGTGAAAAAATACAGACTTTATGGTCTCTGTGACTACAACATCAAAAAATTTATAAAATTAAATTCAAGTTCCTTTCTAGACAGCTCAATCACAACCTCAGAAGATTTAAAATCTATTTCTGGAACCCGTTGAATATCATGGTATTATTTGGTTTTTATGTAAAATTTCCTGCATTAATTTTACTCCAATTAATTTGGAGTCACTTTTACTTTTGCATGTTGCTACTGCTCATACAATTCTGGAATGACTACAAACAAACAAACAAAGATTGTTAAGTGACAACTGCACAGTATATGCACATGCACAAGATATAGCTAAACTCCCAAAATATACAGCAGGAGGTCATGTGACAAAGTGAATGGCAGGTATTTGGTATCTTCAGTGAGTGTATCTCCCATACACAAGAAAAAGCAATTTGGTTATTGAATTTTCATTTTATTCGTAGCCCCATTATAGATTTTTGCATCTTCTGAGATTTAATACCATGGAGGAATAGGAAACCCAAAATTAATCATTATGCTGATGCAGAGAAGTATTTTTGCAAATCTTATTTTCTAGCATGTATGAATTTTGGTCAGCATATCCAAATCCAAGCCAAACATTTGTGCAATCACCCTCAAATATAGTTTTCTGATGTAGGCAAGTAAGAGAAAGAAAAACAAATCATGACACTATCAAAATACTCCTAATTTAAATTTGCATGGGAATTATACACATAATTTTATATTATTTCTAAAATGTAAATAAATATAAATAACCTAACATTCTGACTTATTTGATAAAAACATACTGATCATCATAATGATATTGATGGTACCAGGTTCAGAAGTATTAACATGTAAAAAAAAATTCTTATTTTTTGTGTGTTAGCTACCATGTAGAAAAGGTAAACTATGACAAACTGCAGGATTCTTTTCCCGCATTGTAACTACATACTTTGGCTTCAAAGCTATCAAGAAGCACAAATCTGTAGCATGAGGATGATGAAAAGAAGTTGAACATCAAAATTAAAAGTCAATGCTGCAGAAGTTCATTGTTGTTGCTGTATCAATGAAACACCTTGGAATATTCCAGGCATTGCTTACTAGGTTTACCTTGAGACTTTTAAGCTTGTGCATGCACTGACAAACAAGAGTTTACCAACAACTTTCATTTCCAAAAATTCTCATGTAGTCAGTAAGTTTTGTTGTGTTCTTTCTAGAGCATGAAGTCCCTAATGCAGTATCAACTTTAACACATCCAGCATTAGGGCAGCTGTAAACACAGACATTGCAAACTGCTTCATAATATGTCACAATTAAATCTCTTTAGGGCTGTCTATAAAAGGTTGACCTAGCTTTTTATTTCTATCATGAAAAAAGATAAAATGTGTACACTTTTTTTTTTTTTGGTTTTTTGTTTTAAAGCTTTGCAATGGATCCATGCTTCACTTGGCTCTGCTGAAGGCTTTTTATGGTCAGTCATGACTGAGATGGCTAGGCTTGTGCATTTGAGTAACTCTATTTTCCAAACATGTGATCCATTATTCTAATACCCAGTAATGATGACTGAATGATTTAGTTCAAGTTAGAAATAATAAAAATTAATTCACCAAACCAAAAAGACCAGTATTGAAATGGAAAAAAAAAACAGCTTCATTTAACAAAAGCTGGCTTTAATAGAAGCTTCACTTTCTGAAATGTAGACAAACAATACAGTAGTAAATTTGAGGGAAAGGAGAAATCTACAGTGCTGAAATACTTACAATTATGGAATCAGAGTTTTCAGGTTGAGAATTTTAGGTGCTGCAAGACATGATAAACCTCTAAGGGAATTTATCCCCCCTCTGAAGTTTATTTAAAAAGTATGCAGCAGAAAAGGTACATATGATTTCAGTTCTAAGTATAGAATATAGACAGGTAGCTTCAAAAGCCAAAGCACAGTATTTTGCAATGACTGGTTCAAAGAATATTCAAAGATATATTTCTAGATGTTCTCCTGCATCTACAACTCACATTAACCCAAGAACAAAAAAAAAAAAAAAAAACAAAAAATAAACAAAAAAAAAAAAAAAGAACAAAAAACAAAAAAAAAAAAAAAAAAAAAAAAACAACAAAAAAAACACACAAAAACAAACAAACAAACAAAAAACTATGAAAAATGTTTCAAGAGGCAATAGAAAGCAAAGGATACCAACCTATGAATCCATGTTTCTGGACTCTTTGGAAACTTGGTTAATGCCAGTTTTCCAAGATGCAAATCTTTAAGTGGATTTAAAGTGCCAGACAGTATTAATTCTTTCCTACAAAAGATAAAATAAATCTGTGTGAATAAAAGTAGTAATCTGAAAACAGAACACAAATCCTAATAACAAATTGCATGGCATTTCCTTTGTATCATAACAGAATTTCACTGTCAAACTACAAGAGTTTAAAAGACCCTTAGTGCATGAATCCATTCTATTATACATACATATGTACTATACATATGTGCACAAAGAACTTTATCTTAATTTGAATACATACAACCCATTAGTTTTCAAACCTACCCAGAAATCACTGAGTCAACTACTTGTAGGGTTACATATATGAACAAACATCCCTTCTTGAAATTAAGCCCTTGGATCACACCTGGAAATATCTGTGTACATCTGGAAATACTCTTACACATAGCACTCCTCCATACTTACTTTTAGTTTTTAAATACTATTCAAGATACAGTGTCAAGGTTCCCTATATTTATTTTAAAAAGGGAAATATTCTGTTTGTAAAATGTTTTACAAACTTAACAAAAAGGCTACAATCACTCAGTTTACTTAAGTGCAAAACAATCTTTGGTTAAAAAAAAATTGAAAATTTGCCCTGACAAAACTTAGTGCTCATCCAACACAACCCTTCCTAGAGTACCTCCCACAGACAGAGCAAAATGAAAATCTGTACTTTGCTTTCTCACCTTCTTTGCACAGAATTTCTTGCCCCTCACCCTCTTCTTTCTAGCTTTATAACTCTTATTGCCTGTCCTGAGCATGTTTGTAGACATCACCCCATCACTGGTTCCTCCAAGGACATTAGTCTTCATATCCTATTCTCCAATCTAGTAGGTAGCAGCTTTGAAGTAAAGATACAGTAAGTTCCAAAGTTACAATCTGCAGAAAGAAAATACACATTTCCCAGAACCTGCAGAAGTCACAGGTTCTGGGAAAACTGAAACTGAGAGTACAAGAAGCAGAAGCAATTTTGGCATGGGTTTGAATTTTGGCTAATAATTTCTGATTCATCATAATGATAGGAATAGCTGTATTAAGTGAGGACCAGATAATCAACTCTCTGATCAAAAGACCCCAGTAGGAGGGGAAGAAATAGAATCTGGTAAGATCCGCTATCACATAAGAAGGCAAAACTCTGCAGTTCTGCAGTCTGATGCAGAAAACAAAGTTATGCCCCATGTCTCACAAACAAATTAACATATTTCCTTTCTGAGAGTACATATTTTCTGTCTGAGTTGTAATTTTTAGCAGGAAACTGACTCCACCTGGTACTTTGGCTTTGTGCTGCTGTAATTGAAACTTATAAGCACAATCAGAAGCTAATGGTTGCAACACTAAGAGTGAGCAAGTATTATTTAAATTTGAATAAGAGTGGGGGATGTATCCTTATGGAATGAATCCTTATAAAAGTTTTTCTTCTGATAGCTACTGGGGCATCTGTTTTTATTTCAACCAAGGTCCAACATGCTTCAGATTGGATGCTTTTAGATGGTTTTTAACAGGTAGTTCAGATATACCAACCAGAAGTGGCAGACTGATCGGACCATTCTGTGCTAATGCACTCAAATTTGGAAAGCAGACAAAAGAGAGATTCAGGGTCAGCACCAGAGTAAGTGGAACAACTACCTCATTACTGCAGTACAAAAGTGACATTTTCATAAAAATTACTTACCACACACACAATGAAAATACAGCTTAGATCAGTCTGATACTTAAAACAAATACATGTACATATTTAACAAAGATTTAGACTACCAGGCCACCTACCTCCCAAAACCTAAACTTTCAGTGAAGAAAGTGCTCTTTCTATATTGAAACATTGACATTAAGTAAACAGCCTCACACTAACACAGTCTTAAGATTCCTCTTTTGCAAAATTGAGGAACAGTACAGATAAGATTTATCTTCACTGCTGCAGTAGAAAAGCTGGTTTTAGCTGTAATGATTTTCAAATGAGAGATTCTCCCATACACAAAAGACTGCAAGCACTAGTAGAACTGAAGTACCATATGCTCCCACATAAACCTCTTCTAAGCTCTTTCAGCTAACATCCAACTTGGGATATATAAATTCTAGCTCACTTTCTTGCCATGTGGATCATAGATGTTTCAGCCTTAAGGATTATAGCTCCCATAAAAGATCATCTGGAATCATTTTTACCTGGCTTATGCTAACACCTTTGAAGTAATCTACATCTGAAAGCAAAACAGGACTTTTCAGAGCATCTTGTTACCTAATGCCTTTTCATCAACTGTATATGCCAGGAAGTATAACAGGAAGACTAAAGGCATTTATGAAAATTCCTTTACAATCACCCCATGAAGATTTTGGTAATTTTAACTTGCAAGACTTCAACTTCTAAAAACACAGGATAACTGATTTAGGATTAACTGGAGATATCTCTTATCCCATTTAGTATAACAGGGGTTTCTCTCTCAGCTCCTAGGAAGTGACACACCTACTCTATAGCCAGTCTTTCTCTGCCATATAATTACCTCTTGCTCAGGTCTCAGGGTTTAGGTTATAGCCCCTGCCCTTCTGTAACTTTCCAGTCACTTCTAATTTAAACAAATAAATAAACAACAAATATATGTAGTAGGCACATTACAACTGTTCAGAATAGTTACAAAGTCAAGGCATACCAACTGCTCATAGTTGGCCTAGATAACATCTGTAAAGTTCTCCTGTGCCTCATTAATCCGATATGATTTCCTATGACTGCCAGCTGAGCTGAAATGCCCACTTGTCTTCCACAATACCATTCAAGTCTTCTGACTGGGCTCTGCAAAGTGCTGTGTCCTTTCCTAGGAAGGGATTTCCTTTTCTCTCTCTTCCTCTATCTTCAAGTTCAGTGCTACTGAGTCAACCACAATCTCTGAAGCTTTCAGGAGAATTCAACATATGAAAAAGGGATTATCCCTGCCTATAATGAAAAAGTCAATAAAGAATATACAACAAACACACTGTGTGCAGGGCTGCTATTCAGTAAACAACTACTTAAGGCTACTTAAGAATCTATAATGCTTTTTTCCCCCCTCAAAATAAAGCAGTGAATTAGTGTATGGAGAATGCAAGATGAACCTGGCATGACAAACATAGTCTGGGCAACAAGGAAACAATCATCCCACAACAAATCCATAATGTTCTGCAAACAGAGTGCAAGTCTCATACAATTAGTTCTCAGCTCTGACTATCTCAGGATAAGGATTTATCACCAGAATCCATACAGAACACAGTCAGTCCTCTACTCTGTGACTGATTATGCCAAACATCTGGCTAGCTTGATGTGTAATTTCACAGAGAAGCTGAAATATATGTCAACATAACTAAAGTGCCTCCCCTTCAAAAGAGCAAACTCCCAGCAGAAACCTAGAACAACAAAGGGTCAGATTCAGCAAAGCATTTCCTTTCTAGAATGGGTTCACTGGTAATCTCCACAGATGCTGACTGGTTTGTGTAACAAGATCTCTCTAGATGCTGAAGAGACCTTCAAAGACAGACTGACTGGTACATCATTAGTCAACAATTTGGGGAGTAAGGCCAACTTCTGCAGTAATTTTTATGTTTTGGTAAATCATAAACATCATAAAAGAGAAACAATCTTCTCCATATTCCTCAGCATTTTTAATTCCACTTACAACTTTGAACTACTCTTCTCATGCACATAAAAGCTAACTCTTTCAGCTGTCAGGTACAAAAAATGCCAGACTGATAAGGATGAATGCATGTGCAATAAAAAAATTTCTGCAAAACATAAACCAAAAATCAATTTTAAGTACAGTAATATGAGATTACTGTAGCAGCTTTAGTACTTATACAAGCTCCTAATTCCATTTTAACACTTCAAAGCTACTCAACTTATACATTTTCATGATATTAAACCCTTTGCTATCACATTCATTTTTTAGACCTGAGAGATAGAAAGATACAGAACACAGCAGAATCCTTCAGAACTGTATCAGCAGCAAAAGAACAAAAAAGAAAAAGCTGAATTCGCCCTAAGTAAGGCTGACAGCTAGATGCAGCCATTATCTTTCTAGGTCATTTTGTTATGCACCACCTGCAATAGAGCACCATAACTACAGAATTCCTGTTTTCCATTAATGCACTCCTACAGACTATCATACTTTTGTCAGCCCTCCAGCCCTCCTGAAACTATAGCTTTTATCGACTGTCTCCAGTCTTACCTTAGCAACATAAAGAGAATATTCCTCCAACTCTGCAACTTACAGAATAGCTGTAAAGAACTGTTGTTTCTGCACCTCCTGAAGAGCAATGAAGTAAATTCCTGCTCCTCCTCCATTATGACTCCTGGACAAGTTCTGAAGCTTGAGCAATGATGAAGCTATGCTAAACCCAGCAGGTACAAGAAAGGAAAGGGGAGGGGGGAAGTGTGTTTGAAATAAAGGGTAGACACCTTCTCCCCCTCTCTTGCAGTGTATCTACTGAGCCTTGATAGCCTGCACTGGTAATGGCAGAAAACTGAGCTGGAATCTCAAAAGAACTCAAAGACAGGTAAAAATGGTAACAGTGAATACGCACAGCAGATATCAGCCAAGCACTACCCTCATTAACTGCAGAAGGAAAGAGGAATGGTAGTTCAGTGGGTCTTATACACCCGGAAAATATGGTGCAAACACCTTCATATGCAGCACTATAATCATCAGCCTGCAATAAAAAAACCAAAACAAAACAAAACAAAACCACCCTACCAAAAACCCCCAAACAAACCAACCAACCCAACAAAAACCAAAAAAGAGCAGTCTCAAACTATGTGCAACATATAGGAAAGAAGATTTTTAACATTCTTTCAACACTTCTTAGCTGACAAGTTCTTGCTGCATAACTAACAACCATGTGAAACAAAACTTTCAGTTGACTCATGTAAGGCCCAGCTCTTTTGATGGCATTTTCTGAGTGCAACATACCTCACATTCCAAGCAGTGGTGAAGTCGGGGTTCAGCAGTAGCAGGGTACACGTGATATCTATCAGCTCTAAAACAATGGAACAAGAGACATTAAGTAATTAACAAGAGATATTAGTAATGATTTGCACACAGCACTGATCTCTCTGCAGACCCTTTCTCCCTGTCATTCCTCAAAGTCTCTCTGCTATGGGCTGCTGTACCTCTATAAAATACTGCTCTTATTCCAGAAATGAGAGAGCATTAATTAATTAACAGTTAATTTAAGAGTGAGCAAGATCTGCCACATCCTCACTTTTCATTATTTAAAATAATGAACTGACTATGCCCTCAACAAGGAAAAGTCATAATATAAAGTCCTTGAGTATTCAATAATCTTAACCACACAAACTATATATGAGAAGCAGAGAATACTTCAAAGAAAATCCAAAGCTTTTAAAATACTAGAGAAAAGTAAAAATATACTCTACTATTTTAGAACAAGTCTGAGCTGCAGATGGCCACCATATATCATACTGTTACAAAAAATACACATACTATTAAAAAAAACTGTAGCTAAAAAATAAAACACCACAGCTATGAATGAGGATTACACAAGTACTCCCTATTAAACTGTACAGAAAACACTTTAAATACATTGTGAAGCACTTCAGAATGAAGTTTTAAGACTAATTCAATAAAAAACCCAAAGTAAAAACCAAAATATTTGCTTGCATCCCTACATTGAAGCAGTGTATCCTGTAGCTGTATGTATTACACATACTTTTAACTATGTCATAAAACTGGAATGTGACTATACAAGCTTTTACTGTAAATTAAATTTGGCTACATTCTCTCCTAATCGCCCTGCATTTAACTTACTAATTAGATCATACTTCAGGTGATTTCCAGCAAATAAGAAGTACTTCATTCCTTGAAGTAGAAAGAAAAGGATGGTATCTCATGGAAACTGATCTCTGGTTAGTGCAGTCAATATGACAGTAACATGAACTGTTACCAAATTCCACAGTAATGATACATAAATTAATTAAAAACGCAAAAGGACTTGGCTTCACGTATCTTTGAAATAAGAGTCAATATTTAAGTAGATCTAAAAGTGAAATACCTTCATATATTACTGTATGTCTGATTGATCATTTATGTCCAACAAAGAAATTCTGTTTTCCATTATCTTCTTAAGAGGAAGGAACAGGCCAAGCTACCGTATAATGCAAGGGGTGATGGGGGGGGTGTTGTGGGAATTCTTTAGTGTACTGTTGACTTTGCACTAAGCTGTAATGTTTTGAAAAGTGTCTTAAGGAATGAACTTAACATTCTATTTTCACAAGTTAAATCTCTCTTTGCTGCCTGGAATAAGTATATTTCATATGTGAAAAAATGCATATTCTTCCTACATATTGTACAAATATAATTCCTTGGTTTACTCAATTCCTGAACCAGCAAAGTATTTAAATACCCATTTAAGTTTATGCAACTGACTATCCCAATTCTTAAGTAATCCAAAGATTACTCATATACACGAAATCAAACATACATAAAATTAAACATCTGCTAAATGTTTTGTGGCTACTATTTCAATTTTACATTCAGAAATTAGTTTGGAACATTTACCAAAGCATAATTTTTATATGGAGGTATAGTTAAAATTGTGATCTGTGATTGTTTTATGTACATTTTCCATTATATCTACAACAAGGGTTTTAGTAATTATTAGGTACTACCACTGTACATGTTATATGAACATCAAGCAAAAGGTTATTATAGCCTATTTCAGTATTTTGATTACTTCTCACAAAAGCTTTTCAAAGTCAACTTAGAACAACACAGCTTGTTTAGTCATGATTTCCAGTTAAAATGACCATTCTGGTAATCTCAAAGGTCTGTGACAGCACTCAGTCAAGTCCAACTTAAACAGAACTTGTTTGCATTTGTCCATTTTCCCATCACAGAGGTTCACTTCATCCTGAATATTATCAAAGGAAAGATGCAGATAAAAAGGAAAATCTCCAAGTAAAACCCAATTCTTTCATGTCAATGTTCTTTGATGTAAGTAACAGATGAAGAATCATGAAGTGTGGATTCTGAGCCAGAGATGTTACATGACAACTTAGTAACCTTGAGGCCACTTTACAATACAAAAACGGCACAATTTAGTAATCTCTGAGCCACTTTTTATTAGGAAGCCTTATGATGGATCTGGCACACAATGACAGTACTTGCTAACTATTCCCCCTGTGCTAGTAACAAAACCCAGCATCTATTATTTACAATTTAAAATTACTTTCTACTAGATATGTTTCAGGCAAACTACTGCATTATAGGTGCTCACACTGAACACGTCCTTCTGCATATTAAAGTCTCCCCAGCTGCAAAAGGATTAATAAAACAATATGGTTTTAGCTCACCTTTAAATATGGCTGTATCCAGTTTTTTAGATATTCTGTGAGTGGTTTGTAACAATTTCTCAAAATCATGTTGAGATTGATGATTTTGGTACTTTATGTTAAGTATAATGTTAAGTATAATGTTAAGTATAAATACTATGCATGCATAAATTTAAAAAATACTGAAGAAAGAATAAGAACATATTGTAAAATCTAGATTTCTAAACTCAAATAATAGCAGGGGGAGCAGTCATGATTCTGGATTCCATGTATCCAAATGAAATTGTAACTAAACATCTGTGTCACTAGCTTATCAATGAATGACTATAAAGTACCTCCTTCCAGGATCCTGTCGGAAAAAATACCAGACACTGAAAGCAGACACTTGAATCAGCACTTGACACTTGAAATCAGACACTTGAATCAGCTGTTCTATTTTAATGGCTTACAGTGACTCAAAACAGAAGAGGTGAGTAGAAACTACATCTCCAATCACTGATTATAACAAGCTTCAACAGAATATACAATTTACTTCTGAAGCAGTAATAGACAAATCTATTTCTTTACTAGATGCAAAAGACAACAACTACCCTGACAAATTCCAAGCATACACTTTTAATTCTCTCCACCACTGCAGCTCAGTTTCTGCTCAAACCTATTATCAAATGTGAAACCCAATTATGTTAAAATATACTAAACTCCATTACAAAGAGGGTTTGAACATGAAGGACCTGACTGTGTTTTACAGTGGTTACAGAAAACTTCAGCAGACATGAAAATGCTGCAGACCACCTCTTCTCACACATTTGAAACTGAAGAACATTTGAACATTTGTAAATGAAAAGAAAAATCAGAATGTTTCATTTTCAGTTTCAGTTTCATTTTCAAAAGAAAGCCAAACAAGTTGCAGGCACTAGTCTAAAATCCATGCTACTGCAGTATTCACTGACAGAGTGCTCTAAGCTGTATTTTGAGAGGAAGGGTTGTGCAAGGTTTCACCTGAGGGAAGCAGAGGCCTACAGACACAATCCCAGTGGCATTGGCAGATGTGACAGCATCACAACAAAGCACCTGCACTGCTGTGATTAGAGCAGGGTGCCAGCACACAGGTAATAGCTATCAGCTGTCTTCAGACACCCAAAAACATGACATAAACCTCAATGTTTGTAGTTTGGCTTGAAACAAGAAGATTTTCTCTGCATAGAAATTTCAATGGTTAGATGTTACAGTAACACTTGAGACCAAAATGAAGCCTTCCTGCTGAAGATCTGAAGCGTAATAATAATATACATCAAAAACTCCTACCTCAGACCTCCAAAAGCACTGAAATGACAACCACTGGTGTTGCTAAGCTTGCCTGTGCTAGTAGGTTCAACTCCTTAAATGCTTACGTTTGTATTTAGCTATGTCTTAGCCAACATTAATTATATTCCCTGTATTAAAGTTCTGTTCATTGAATTTTGTAATCGTCTGCATTACAAATTCCAAATTTGGCATATCACAATCACCAGTTTTAATGAGAACTGAATAAATCAGCAGCTGGTTGGTGGCAGTGATCAAAAACATCCTGGTCTTAACAGGTCCAACCATAAACCACAAAGACCAAGAAGAAATGGAAGTTACTTATGTTAGCAATACACACCCAGTAGTAGAGTCTTTTAAAGATGTCTGTTATGAGAAAAAATATTCAAGAAAATAAATTATGTTAAAATAAAAAAATAAAGGGCAACGTAAAATTTTTATAGTCCACATGACATCAACCCTCTAGGAGGAGTGTGGGAAACACAGTGACACAAACAATCTGTTAAACAAAAATAAAACACAATTAATGTGTCTGTCATACCCAGCAACACTTGAAAATACTTCAACTTCTTTAAGCTACTCTTTTGAAGGATAATTACTTTTAAGGATCAAGCCAGTGCGCTGTTACTGTAACATCACTCAAGGTTTACAGCTAGCACTGGAAGACTCTGTGTTGCCAGGAGAATGGATTCCCCCTTGTCATGATCTTGTCTGCCATTTCCAAAATACTTGCATTATATATCCGTAAGTTTCTAATAAGAAATCAAAATGTTTTTAGCAAATCTAGACCCCACCATCAGGCAGATAACACAAAAGCATACAACGCTCTCTGCCTTAAGGATGCTCCCACTCCAAGATCCACTAAAGACCTCAATCTTCTTTCTCTGTATCATCTCCAAAGGCAAAAGAAGCTCAAGTGCACATTTATAGACCTGACCAACACCACCTGACTGTGCCATACACTACACTTTAATAAGCACCAGTGCACATCTGGCCTCGTCCACTTAAAGTGAAACAGAATACAGCCATAAAACACTAAAGAAAAGTAGATATCAAAGGAGAAATGTTACTGGCCATATATAATCGTCTGATCTACACTGACCTACTCTAAAAACTTACCTAGCAGTAACACCAAGTAGTACACCTGTAACACCATGTTAGTCATGACTATGTGCTAGAGTCTGCACCAGATGTATGCTAGCATCCCACTATTTAAAACGTAATTCTTTAACTCTCTATTTCATAAAGCAGCCAGGGAGATTTGCTTTGCTATAGTTGCAATTAACACAACTGAATGAATGGTGGCTGTTTGGTATGCTTCAGGAAGGGAAGACAATCCCATATATGCTGAAGCAAAACGGACACAGACAGTGCTTTATGGACAGGTAGTTACAAGTAAACAGAAAAAAAAATAAAATATGGTAACAGTCCAAAACTGAAATCCAGTTGCATGTGAGATACTAAAGATCTGAACTCTGTGAGTGGTCACAGGGTGCTCTTCAACAGGATATGAAAAATACCATAGTAGGTAAAAGATACTGGAAAGAAGTCTCTAAAAGAAAACAAAACAAAACAAAAAAAACAGTAGAAATAAGACACTGAGAAGCCCAGCATAAGAACATTATTTATTCCAACTGCTACTTAGAAGATATTGCAACAAGAAATAAAAAACTTGTTTCATCAACTAGTTATTCTTTTTCATTCTTACTCTGATCAGGACACCTTATAAGCAGTTAAGTACCTCCTACGTCACACCTGTTCATAATTCTTTATTTTGAATTTTTTTAAAGAACATACATGAACAATTTTTTCATGCAAGTTAAACTAAAAACCAAAACAAAGAAATGAGAAAGGAAATAAAACTTTACAATTATCAAGCTGTAGGGACTTATAATTTCTGGTACCTCTGCATCAGAAACACACTGTACTCATTTCTTACAGTAGATATACATCACCACATTTTCCTTTGACTCAGGAAAACAGGAGAAAATTCCTTCTATATCAACTAACATCACTTCCTCAAATAACTCATTGAACTTGTCTGTCTCTAACCTTTCCAGTTTGGGCAAGACAGAAAGAAGTGTTATTTTCAAATGACCTTAAACTCATTCAAGTCAAGAGGCACAATCCAAAGCCTGCTCTCCTCAGTAACCACCATTTCTTCCAGAACAGGTTAAACTGGCATTAAGAAGGGTAAATGACCCAGACAAGGGCATTGAGCACACCCTCAGTCAGTTTGGGGATTACACGTCTGAGGGTGGGAGTGATCTACTGGAGGGAACGAAGGCTCTGCAGGGGGATCTGGACAAGCTGGATCAATGAGTCGAGGCCATTGTAAGAGGTTCTCACTGGTCCTGCCCCTGGGTCACAACAACACCTTGCAACACCACAGACTTGCAGGAAAGATGCTTGGTGGAAAAGGACCCAAGGGGTGCTAGCCAGAACCAGCTGGACATGAGCCAGCAGTGTCCCCAGGTTGTCAAGAAGGCCAAGGGCATCTTGGCTTGGATCACAATGGTGTGGCCAGCAGGACCACATCAGTGACCATCTCCATGTACTCATTGAAACATCAAGGTGCTGGAGTGAGCCCAGAGAAGGGCAAATGGAGCTCAAGTCTTATAAAGAGGAGATGAGGGAACTGGAGGTGTTTAGCCTGGAGAAAAGGAGGCTTGGGAGAACATTATTGTTCTCCAAAACTACATAAAAGAAGGTTGTAGCAAGGTGAATGTCAGTCTCTCTTCACAGGTAACAAACAACAGGATGAGAGAAAATGGTCTCAGGCTGCACCGGGAGAAGTTTAGGTTATATATGAGGAAAGATTTCCTCACTGAAAGCATTGTCAAGATTGAAACAGGTTGTCCAGGAAGTGGTAGAGTCACCATCCCTGGAGGTATTTTGGAAGTAATGTAAACACAGCACTTAGGAACATGGTTTAGTGCTGGATTTGGCAGTGTCAGGTTTATGGCTGGACTCTGATCTTAAAGCTCTTTTCGAAACTAAATTATTTTAGGATAAATAAAAAATATGCACTAAAGATCACATCATATACTCTTCTTCAACTCAGAACTTACCATCCTTGTTCAGCCACTGTTTTCTCTGTCTGTAGAGGAGAAGTTTATTGTGGACATACGGCAAAAGAAACTTCACACACCAGCTCTCCACACCAAGCTTGTTTTCTACTAGGACAATAGGGCTCCGGTTATATCTGGCCTCAGGGCAGGGTATTAATCCAATTTCATCTCTTAAAAAACAGAGATAAAAATAATTAAGCTTATTTCAAGTAGGTGACAATTATTTTTCTCAATACAGAAATGCAACGGTTGGCAATGCTTCCCAACCAAACATTCCATCATCTTTTTTTCTCGTCTTTGCTGAAATCTGTAAAAGGAAAAGTTTTATTTGATTTTCACAAAGATCTGAAATGATGAAGGCCCCATTTTTTCTGTTTTTAGACTATTATCCAATCAGTTTAACTCAGCTTAATCAACGAGCACCCCTAAATAAACAAATACGTGACCGAGCCGTAACTGCTGCTTCAGCAATAGAAAGAGAACATGCTATCTAGTACAGGCACCTGACTGACCAAAAGCTACCCAGGTATACCCTGCAGCAGGTGCTCTGAAACTAAGACTCACACAGAAGAATATACTCACTTCCACATGTCCCAATTTTAATTGTGCTATGCAAGGCAGGATGATCAACAGGGAGAAGATTTGAGACACAGAGTCTGACAGATGACAACTCTGTACAAGAAATGTAAGCCTTTAAAACAACAGTGACAAACAGAAATAAACATAACTTATCAAGGATTCACACTTGTTTAGACATAAAGCAACATTATTTTATTTTGATTATGCAGCATTTCTCCACCAACTCCCATTCAATGGAAAAAACTGCTGCTAAAGAGGAAATATCCTTATATTTCACACATGATAAAAAAGATCTCTTGTGATCTCAGAAAACAAATTCTCCATCTTAAGTCTTCTTAATACAAGACTTACAGATACACAGCAAGCGTCAGCTCTTAAACCCCAACTCAATTATCTTAAATAAAATTTGTTACTGGGTACTCTGAATATGCTGATTTAGTTTCTGTGTCCTCACTGGAGTATTACTGAGGTAATAAAAAGTGACACAGTGTGCTTTTTTAAGAATGTATTTGCTTATTCAGAAGACAGATTTGATCTTCCATACATCGACAACATATGTCACAAGCTGCAAAAAACACAGGTAATGTGAAATCAAGGTAAAACACTTGCAAATCACGTAGCTCTGTCTCCAAACACACACACAGGTCCCTTTAGCTTCCCAGTCAGCTGAGAAGAGAGAGAAGAAAAAAGAAAGAAAAAAGCATTCCTCTACCCCACTAAAAGCAAGAAATGGGTATCAAACCAAGATCCTTATCTGTGTTGCTCTATTTAACACAAGCTACACTCCTCGAGAAGCAAGATTAAACCTAAAATGACATTCCAGTCTGCTTTTTCAACACAGTATCTTAATAGCCTGAAGTTTGTATTGCTGGGTCTTTCTTCTACTAACGCTAAACCCAGTCCTTGGCAAAATGTTACCTGGCCTTGCATAAAGGAACATGAGTCTCCAAAAGCAACGAAGACAGAGTCAGGTACTGCTTGGCTAATTAACTCTCTGAATTACCATAGGAACTTACCAGCTGTAACTCACAAACAGTATACCAAAGGTAAACAGCAAGCAGAGGGAAAAAAAAAAACAAAACACAAAACAAACATCCACACCTTTACTTATTACCAAATGGAAGAAGTCTAACTTGGGCGAGCTAATTTTCACAATACTGCTTTGAACACACCAAAATGACAGACAGGTAGAGTTTGCACAAAGCTGACAAGTGGGTATGTGTACAAGCAGCCATTGACAAGGGTCAATAAATGCTGAAAAAGAGGTAAGGGACAAAAGTATGGTAAGTGAACAGGAACATCATGCATGTATCAGATTCCCTATTTTCAGTGAAGCTAGGCAGTTCCCATGTAAAATAGTTCAAACCTGGATCTGTAACATGTTGAATTCAGGATATCACCTGTCAGGAACTGCAGCTGGCCAGCAGCAGAAGACAAGATGAAAATACATGAAAAGACCTGGCCAGCACAGATACAGCCTGGTGCTCCTGAGGCACAGAGGCAGAACTGTAAAGGGCCCACAGCCTACACTGGCCTGCAGAGTCCCATTTCAAGTATTTTCAACCACTTCACAAATCTAGCAGACAAGATTGTTACTTTTTCTCCTTCAAGGGATAAGGTAGCAGCAGCTTGTGCTTTTTCACTTGAAGTATGTCATCACAGTGCATCAGTCTCAGCATGCACTCTTGCAGCTTACTTTCACCTCTGAGATGCATCTATGAAAGGAAATTACAATAGCAGCAAATTCTTCAAAAACACCATCTCCAAGTTTGCTACCAATAAAGAATCCCAGCACAGGAGTGGGAACTATGAAAAAATCAGAACATTCATTCATACATAGTGGCCATTTGCAGTGCATTACACTTTACATCCTAAAAATGAAGCTTCAATGCAAAACACAGCCTTATTTAAACAGCATCCATATGCTGCATTTTAAAACCTGGCCGCCCACCCAAATTGCTTACTACATTTAGAGAAACATGAGGGTGTTTATTCTAATCTTTTCTTGTTGAGGAAAGGGATAAATTAAGTGACATAAAATTTTCATATGCCATATTTTCATTAGCTTATCACTTTCTGAAACAGATTAATAAGCCACGACCTCAGAGACTGCAGTTTCCAGATGACATACATACACCTCATTTAAATTATGAAATTGTTACTCATATGTGCTACCTTATTTGCCATAACCAACATGGAGCTTGCATATAGATTGAAAGATACTTCCCTAGTTTGTGTCTTAAAGGCAGGGGAAATACACACTGCAAAACAGAAGTATAGGAGGCCCTTAAAACAGGGTTCAAGGCTAGTCAACAACACTGAAAAATAAAACACAGCATCTGCCCCCATATTGCTGGAGAAATCTGATTGTCATAACAATTACTGTGGTTTGCATTTTCGTAGTCATTCTGTCTTCTTCAAATCAAAGCACAACGAAAAGCAGTAGCACATCTACCAAGAGATACGGATTTGAACGTGGCATCCACCACACCGCTCTGTTGGTGCAAAGGTGCAATTCAGGAGTCTTCAATCCTAAGCTTTGCTCCCACCAGCAGCAGTGTTCTGCTCCAGCTGTGGGGCTCGGAAGGGCTGGCCCATCTGCGGGCAGGCTCAGCCCCATCCCGACTGAGCGACGAGTTCAACACTGCCAAGCACCGAGTTCGGAGAGACATCATTAGCAACTTTTCTCGGAAAATGTATCGTCGGTTCCAGACTGCGGACCCCTCGCTGGTTTCCGTGGCTCGGTGCCTTTCACCGGCGGGGCGGTTGCGGCCGCTGGGCTGCGGCCGCCAGGGCTCCAGCTCCCGGAGCGAGCCCAGGGGAAGCCGCGGCGGCAGGAGAGCGCCCAGAACAGGGACACGGCGCCCTGCCCCAAGGAGGCGCGGGTGCCACCGCAGCCGCCCGGAGCCGGAGGAGACCCGGGCGGTCCCCGCGGCCGCTCACGGCGTGACCTTGGGCCCGGCCCGGGCCGCCCCGCCGGGACCCGCAGCCCGCCCGCCCGGCCGCGGAGCGCGCACGGCCGGAGCGCGGGCAGCGCTCGCTGCGCGCCGCCCGCCGCGGCCGCACTCACATGTGTGGGTTCCGCTGGAAGGCGTTGCGGATGTCCTTCACCACCCGCTGCACCAGCACCGCCACCTCCTCCGCCGACTCGGCCATGTTCCCGCAGGCGGCGCGGCGGGAGCGCTTCCGGGGCAGCGCGCACGGCCGGGCGCGGGGCGGGGCCGGTGCGCCCGGTGCTCGGGCGTGGTTTTATTTTGGGTCGTGTGGGGGACGAGGCATCTTAATTCATATTACAGAAAAGTAGGGTTTGTGTCTTTGTATGAATATTTATATCCCTTCTTGCATGAAGGAAGTGAGCTGCATCGTGGTACAGTTGTTTCCAGGCATGCCATGGGATCACTCCTTTTTTCCAAGAGGGTTGATAAGGCTTACAGCTCTATCCTTATTGCCTCCCCTTCTAAATAATAGCATTGCCGCTCAGAAGTTTCCCTTGTACAGAGATTTTTTTAAAAGCGAAAAGAAAACAGGTGCTGAAGAGTTTGTATTTTCCATGCAGTATTGGTTTTGCTGAGCATAAGCATTAATATCATATGCAATAGTGTATTTCTATTGCTTATATGTGTACAGGGTGTGATTTCGTAATTTGTTGTTTTATACTGTGAATCAGTGTTTTTCAACGCCATTTTTAGTGTGTGGCTCTTCCTAAAAGGCTCGAGACAGACAAGCCACTGTCTCTGGAGCTCCCAGTGCTAGTTACATCCTGAGTTAATGCAGTCCTTTTTGCTGTGTCGGGGATCGCGCTGGGCTGCGCAGCTTTGAGAGATAAGGGTTGTGTGTACAGCTTCTCTTGACTGCCAGCAGACATGGGAGCGCTTCTCTTCAAGGCGGAATGTGAAGAGGTGACTGTAATTCTGGACTGTAACTTATGTATTTGCTTGTCATAAGAAATTGTGTATAATGTATTTACAAAGCATTAACCGTGCATAGTTGATATGTCTCTAATTTGAAAGCTTGCAAAGTCATCATCATCTGCTTCATCATTGTCTTCCCCCCCACCTTCCCCCCAAGAGGCCTAGTAGACCCTTCTGGGTCTATATTCTCCTTAAAAAATAAAATAAAATAAAATGGCAGATGGGACATTTTATGGGGCCTTCTTAATAGCCAATATATTAAGTGGAAAAAGTTAGACTAAATAATGTTGGCTTCAGGGAATTTGTCTGTGCTGTTCCAGGTTTTCATTCACTTTGTAGAATGTATAGACACTGTTTTTGTAATTGTAGTGTCTAAAATTGTTGAAACAAACTGATACATTCTGGATGTCAAATAGGCAAAAATACAAATATGAGGAAAAGTGTTGCAACACTTAGTGACTATTAGGATATATTTTTAGCTGAAAAATACAAACTAGTTTTTTCAAAATAGCTTAGATTACTGTGTTCAGCATAACCCTGAATTTTTAATTTTTGCAGTTTTACCTTGTGGGAAGGGACTAAGTTGGTTTTATGTGATGGACAGTATACCTTTTCTGACTCACTGCCTGCTCACTTTGTCCTGTGCAATTTCTTCAGTCTGGGAATACAGTGACTGAAAAGGTTCTAGCTGTGAGGTTGGTTTGAGTTGGGTTTTTGTTGTTGGAATTCTTTTAAGAGTTTTTGGTGAATTATACCTAAATTAAACAACTTTCAGATGTCATTAATCATGACAAAAATACTCTGTGGATTAAAAGTTGAATTCTTGTGTTTGTGATGGATTGGGGTTTTGGTGGTTTTTTCGTTTTAGTATTGGGTACAAGCAAAAGTCAACCATAACAAATGCAAAGTTCTTAAAGTACTGAAAATTGATACAAAACTATTAATGTACTTAAAAGTTGCAAAAGTAGTTATTTGGAATTGTGCAATCAACTGACAATATACTGTCTATGACTTCATGCATACCTTTTGAAGAGGAATGAATATGAAATTGCTATTCTTATTTAAATGTCGTAATAAATTATAATTATTTTAATTGTACATTTTAGCAATTATATATGTTATCAAAGCTTTTAAGGTGGGCATTGGTGTTAATATTGCACATGATACTTTATAGTAGCTTCTGGGTGTGATTATTGAATTGTCAGCCAAGAATGCTTACTTGCTGTAATTTTGGGGAAATGATAATAATTTATTTCAGAAAATACTCTTTTGTTACATTTCACATAGGGTATAAACTGTAGAAAATAGACTGTAATTAAATAGTCAGGAATTATCTTTCTGTTACATGCAGAAATTTCCCTGAGTAATCCATTTCTATGTCATCTGAGGCAGTCTCAAAAGTACTGGAAACTATTTGCTTAAGGAATTTTTCTCTCATAGGTACAGAATAATATGTCTTTCTAACTACCTAAAGTGATATAACAAACTCCTAGTGCATTAAAATTGCCTTAATAAATGCCTAAAAGGTTAAAATGTCGCAATTTAGATCCAGTTCACCAAGTGTGAAATGTAGTCGTAAATTTGTTCATGGCCACCTTCAGAAAATGGGTAATAAGGCTTGTTTCTGTGCCCCCCAACCATGTTACTTTGTTAAAGCTTTATAGACAAGTCCAACTGAGTTTAATGCAATTGATTTCAGTGCTATATTTTTTGTGAAAATGTCTCACAGCTGGTACTAGTTGTCCCTCTATTGTGAGAGTGAAAACAATTGCATGGGGAAATGGGCACATCACATTAGTTATTTCCCATGGCCTAATATTTTTCTAAGCAGATCATGTTACATGGCCAACAAGCGTGAAAGTGTATCATCACTATCCTTGCTTTTCTATTTATTACAAAGATTGTTTGAAATTTTGACAGTCATGGTACAAATGCAGGAGTCGCAGCACATTTTTTCCTATCATGAAAAGCATAAGTCTTCAGATTTTTCAGTGATGGTTCTTTAACATCAGAGAATGTGGTGGGTGTGTGTATGGTTGTATACCTAGTTGTGCCTGGGTTTGCTTCTTGGGTTAGCAGACAGAAAGATTGCTGCTGTTAGCGACAGTGCACCCATGGTGACTGAGCTAACAGTCTTTTGGTTCAGGCCATGCTGACAAACAGGCCAGGCTGAAATCAGTCCTGATGTGCAAACCCAGCCGGCTTGTGGGAAGTCACATCTTACTGGGGACTAGCGCCTGAGCCAGAACTGCAGTACCTTGTCTGGTCTGGAACTGGGTGGAAAGAAGCATTGCTAACTTTTATACCTGCACACACACCAAAGGGGTGTTTGACTGCAAGGCTGTCACTTCTCACCTACAAGTGCCTACAGCCACCAGAGCCCACTGAGCTCTTCTGCACTGAGATCTCTCTCAGGCAGGGATGTTTCTCAGGATTACCTCACAAGAGTGACAGATTGCCTTACCCAGCATTTGATGTCTACAATGGGGGATGATACAAAAAGGTCTAAAACTGTATTGTAGGCAAGCCAATTATTTGTCATGCAGTAAACAGTAGGTGGTATGACTGCTGTTCAGTCATTGTTGAATATGATATTTGGTTAAACACACCTTATTGACTCAAAGTTATGGAATCATTGTGGATGGAAAAGATGTTCAAAATCACTGAGTCTAACCTCTGACCAAACACCACCGTGTCCAATAAACCATAGCATAAGTGCCATGTCCTGGAGGGTTCAAGGAATTACTCCTCCAGGAGTAGTGACTCCATCACCTATTTGGGCAGCCCATTCCAATGTCTCAGTGTTACTCCAGTGAAGAAATTCTTCCTGGTATCCAACCTGACCCCCCCTCGGGTGTAGTTTTAAGGCTATTTCTTCTCATCCTGTTGCCTGGAAAAAGAGAACAACCCCCACCTAGCTACAACATCCTTTTAGGCAGCTGTAGGGAGAAATAAGGTGTCCCCTTAAGTCTCCTTTTCTCCAGCCTAAACACTCCCAGCTCCCTCAGCTGCTCCTCACAGAAATCATGCTCCACACCCTTCCCCAGCTCCATTGCCCTTCTCTGGATACACTCCAAAAGAAAGTCTCCAAGAACTCCACAATGTCCTTCCTGAACTGAGGGGCTGAGAACTGGGCTCAGGAATAGAGGTGTGGCCTCCCTAGGACAGGGAGAGCTGGCTCCTCTGTGCATTTGTCCTGCAACCCTGTTACAGAAGTCTTCAGACATGGTCAGGTGCTTCTGGCTTTGCTCCAAGGAAGCTCCAAGGTTCATGTGAAAAATTCATTGTATATTGTTATTGCATCAAAATGTAATATTCTAATGTAATGGTTTTACTGCAGTAAATTATATTTTATGGTAAAGGTTGGTTACCAGTGTAGGGAGTGTGGTGTGGCTTTGTTCATTATATGGTCAATGAGCATCAGTGGGCTTCGTGGAAACAGCATCACTGACAGACAGTGCAAACATGGTCCTCCAATGCGTGAAAGATATAAGGAATGGAAGCACGCCTCACTCTAAAATGTGCTGAATATTTTTAGATAAAACATTTCTGAGAAACACTCCATATGCTTTACACTTTGAGTATAATGGACATAATTTGTGGATATAATTTTTCTGTGTTTCTTCAAATTCTTTTCTTATTTAGAAAAAAAAAATGCAGTTGAGATGCCAAGAAGAAATAATTTAACACATACTGAATTCCTCATTCTCTTGAAAGGAAAATATTTTAAATTAATAAAAAATCTACTTTTTTAAAGAAATAATGTTTAATATTGTGAACATTCCCAACATGTTAACTGATATAAAATTTTTTCTTAGAAACCAACTCTATATTTCCATAAGACCTGCATGACTGAGAGAAGTTCCAGCAATACTTTTGTATGTATAATATTGAATGGTTTGAGTACACCTACAGAGCCTGAAGACTGAGATAGGCTTTAAGCAGCAATTGTTGGTCATATGCACTCAATGAGCAAATCATGCATTACCAATTATTGTGTGTGACACCTATCTTTTCCTCCTGTTGAAAAAGTAATTTATTTTTCTGTTATTTAAATTTTCTGAAAGGAAAAAAACCTAGCTTTAATGATAAATGCACACTGCTAGTCCAATGTTAGCTAGGATTATATTGAGATTTCTTTACAACTTCCATATCAGCAAAATCATGTTAAAATTCGTTCCCGTTAAAAATGCAGTTTCAGCAGGATTTTCCTTAAAATCATCAAGGAGTGATTAAGAGAAATAATGTTTTTAAATATTTCATTTTCATTCATGTTGTAAGTAAGTACAGAATGA